TTCAATCAATTCTTGTGATCTTGAGTCATCATACTGCCAGCATGAAAGACCATTTACTTTAATCACTCAATACACTAATCAACGGAAGCCAAAACACTATCTACATAAAAGGAGCAAGCCATTCCCTTTATTTCCAGAAAAACATAAAATAAAACCTTTACAAGAAGCGTTCTATACTTTCAACAGGGTATAATCTATTTATTTACCTTCCTTTGCAAAATCAAACATGAAAAGCAGCAGGTTACTTTAAAGAAGACAACACTTTTGAACTTCCAAGATCTAATCTTTTTATTTCTTACCTTTTGGCCTTGGTCTAATCTTTTTTCATCAGTCGGAGCAACTTACATCTCCATTCAATGAAATTAAATTCTTAAACCCAAAAAATTACAACTTGCAAAGAAGTAGAAAACCATGGTTGACATGATCATCTGAGACCCTTCTGCAAGCGATGCATGCAACGATTGTTTATTACAAAACACAAGCAGCATCAATAGGCAGAACAACTCTTAGTGCAAAACACAGATATGAATAGCAATAGTTTCGAATTTTCAATGAGACTGCAAATTCTATTAAGAATTATGATAAAGGAACAAAATTTAGGAAATAGAGAGCAAATAAACAAATGGGGTTGTCGAAATAGTGAAGGATAAATAGTTAAGTTAATTTTACCATCATGAGGAGCTTGGCGAAGAGGGCTATTCCAACAGCAGTGAGAATCTGGGGCATAGTGGCTGTGTCTAGGTAGGTCATAGGCTCCGGAACCTCAACGAACACTGTTTGTTTATCTTTCTTTGCGCTTTTTCTCTTCCTCATTTTCCCCAACTGGGCAATCTTTGTCTTCAAGCTTTCACTTGGCCCATCATAAGTATGCATCTGCCTCCCAAAAGAAACCAACACTCTCTGCCTCACCCAATTCATGGCTTCTGTCACTTTTCTCAGGAACAGTTCAAACGAGGAAGAAGGAATCCAGAAGCCGACTCCATTCGCATCACAGATGAGGAGGAGAGGTGAAATTGGAGCTCAAAAAGTACATGGCCATATGGGTTTTTGGCCCTATTGGGCAATGAGGTTTCATACAAGTTTTGGTTGGGCCTCAAAGTTTCAAACTTTTAAGCTAGTCCAGCCCAACTGTCTGTCTGTCTGTCTCTCTCTCTCTCACTCACACACACACACACACACACATACTTTTTCATTTTGGTCAGATGTTTTTGTGTTTCTCTGACGCCATAGCTCGGTAGCTCACCGTTTGGGGCATTAGAGAAGAAATGGGTTTATTTTCACATGGACACCTCCTTGCATTTCAGCTAAACAATCGAATTGGTATTCCAAAAGCAAGACTTGTAATTTCAATCAAATATTGCACCTCGCAATCAGAGACCTGTAAACAGGACGAGGACACAGTGAGAGAAATCTCTACCATTCTCAAACACAACGACTGGCACTTCGCTTTGAACACCTCAGACCTCCCCAAGAAGCTAAACCCTCATGTCGTCCGAGCCGTTCTGCAACAAAACCATCAGGTTGGTGACCCCAAACGCCTTCTCAGTTTCTTCATTTGGACTGGTACCCACATGGGTGTTCCTCAAAATTTACATTCTTTTTCGATTCTTGCTGTTGCTTTATGCAATTCCAAGCTGTTTGAGCAAGCTCATGCTGTGCTAGAGAGAATGGTTAAGAGCCGCAAGCCGCCTTTGGAAGTTGTGAATTCTCTTGTCATGTGTTTTAGAGAGTTTGATGGGTCAGATAGAGTGGTTTTTGAGATTTTGATTAATGCTTTCAAGATGGCGGGACACTTGAATGAGGCTGCTGATGCATTTTTGGCAGTTAAGAAAGTTGGGATTTTCCCAAGATTGGATTGCTGCAATTCTCTGTTGAAGGACTTGTTGAAATGTAATAGGTTGGAGTTGTTCTGGAAGGTGTATGATGCGATGTTAGAGGCTAAGGTAAACCCTGATTTTTATACTTATACCAATGTGATCAATGCACATTGTAAGGCTGGGAATGCTGGGCAGGGTAAGAGATGTCTCCATGAGATGGAGGAGAAGGGCTGCAATCCAAATTTAAGTACCTACAATGTGGTGATTGGTGCGTTGTGTAGAACTTGGGGGGTTGATGAAGCTTTAGAGGTAAAGAAGGCTATGGTTGAGAAGGGATTGGTTCCAGATAGGTATACTTATTTGGTGCTTCTTGATGGGTTGTGCAGACATAAGAGATCAGAAGAAGCAAAATTGATATTGAAAGACATGTATGATATAGGTTTGAATCCTGAAAACACCTGCTACATTGCGTTGATTGATGGGTTCATAAAGGAAGGTAACATGGAAGAGGCCCTGAGTATCAAAGGCGAGATGATTGCTAGAGGAGTTAAGTTGTGCGATGCCACATATAACACAATTTTGGCTGGGGTCTGTAGAAATGGTACAATGGAGAAGGCAGAAGCTGTCCTGAATGAGATGAATGTTATGGGCATTAAACCTAACGCCCAGACATTTAAGTTTTTAATTGATGGGTATTGTCGGGAGCAAAGTATGGTAAAGGCTTATGAGATACTTAATGAAATGAAAAAGAGGAACTTGGCACCCAATGTGTACACTTATGGAGTGATAATCAATGGCCTGAGCCGGTGTGGAGATCTGCAAAGGGCTAATAAAGTTTTGAAGGAAATGATTACCAGGGGTTTAAAACCAGGTGCTGTTATCTACACAACTGTAATTAGAGGTCATGTTCAGGAAGGAAAATTTGAAGAAGCAATAAAACTATTTAAGGGAATGAATGAAAAGGGGGTCATGCCCGATGTCTTTTGCTACAATTCTCTTATAATTGGACTGTGCAAAGCCAGGAAAATGGAAGAAGCCAGGACTTACTTCTTGGAAATGGTTGAGAGAGGATTAAAGCCTAATGCATATACTTATGGAGCTTTTGTTCATGGGCACTGTAAGGAAGGGGAAATGCAACTTGCGAATAGGTATTTCCAGGAGATGCTAGGTTGTGGTATAGCTCCTAATGATGTTATCTACACAGCCCTGATTGAAGGACACTGCAAAGAGGGTAATTTAACAGAAGCACATTCAGCATTTAGGTGTATGCTTGGACGAGGGGTGCTCCCAGACATAAAAACTTACAGTGTCATTATTCATGGTCTCTCTAAGAATGGAAAACTTCAAGAAGCAATGGGGGTTTTCTCTGAGCTCCTTGACAAGGATCTGGTTCCAGATGTTTTTACTTACAGCTCTCTCATTTCTGGCTTTTGTAAGCAAGGAAATGTAGATAAGGCTTTCCAAATTCTTGAACTGATGTGTCAGAGAGGCATCGATCCCAACATTGTTACTTATAACGCCTTGATTAATGGACTGTGCAAGTCAGGTGAAGTTGATAAAGCCAAAGAACTGTTTGATGGAATCTCAGGAAAGGGTTTGACTCCTAATGCCGTGACTTATGCTACAATGATGGGCGGATACAGCAAAGCTGGAAAATTAACCGAGGCATTTCGATTATTAGATGAGATGCTACTACATGGGTTTCCTACTGATAGTTTCATCTACTGCACCCTCATTGATGGGTGCTGCAAGGCAGGTGATACGGAGAAGGCCCTGTCTTTATTCGAGGATATGGTGGAGAAGGGCTTTGCTGCTACTGCTTCTTTCAATGCATTGATTAATGGCTTCTGCAAATTAGGGAAGATGATGGAAGCTATTCGGTTGTTTGAAGATATGGTGGATAAGCATGTGACACCAAATCATGTATCCTACACGATTTTGATTGTTTCTCTCTGCAAAGAGGGATTGATGAACGAATCAGAACAGCTCTTTCTGGAAATGCAGAAAAGGAATCTGACACCAACTATTGTAACCTATACTTCACTTTTACACGGCTACAATCTCACAGGAAGCAGATTTAAGATGTTTGCTCTTTTTGAGGAGATGATGGCAAGGGGACTCAAGCCTGATGAAGTTAACTATGGTATGATGGTTGATGCTTATTGCAAAGAAGGTCATTGGGTAAAATGTTTAAAGCTGGTGGATGAAGTTTTGGTCAATGGTACAATCATGAACAGTATTGTGGTAGATGCACTGACAATTAACCTATTCCAAAAGGAAGAATTTTCTGAAGTGATGAAGTCACTTGATGAAATGGGAGAACAAGGATTTGCGCTCAGTCTTGCTACATGTAGCACATTAGTTTGTGGGTTTTACAGATTAGGGAATGTGGAGAAAGCAGCAAGGATTCTGGAGAGCATGCTTAGCTTTGGATGGGTTTCACAGTCCACTAGCTTAAGTGACTTAATAAACGAAGACCAAAATGAGGCTAGTTCCGGAATATGTTGAAGCAAGGAACACTGGGAGTTGCTTGTCTAGTTGATTGAGGTAGAATTTCTGGCTCTCTCCCATTCTTGGCTCTGGTGAAAACAAATCCAAATGCTGGCCCGAGAAGGGTGGGCTTAGCAAGTTGTGGTGATGGAAAAGCTTTGCCTTTGCCATGAGCACCTTCCTCATTGTGAACCAGTGATTGAGTACTCCTAAAACAAAAAGGGTGGATTCAATGCTTAGAAAGGTAACTTTTTTTTTTATCTGTTCCACTTGACTTCATTGAAAAATGATATTTTGTTACATACTTGCCCAAGACAAAAGAAAACAGAAAACAATAATATAATTTACTGCAGATTGGCTTGGAAAGTTTCTTTTTATTTAGTGTTTACATCCTATGAAAATTTGATCCAACTACTTTCTGTCAACAGACATTTATGTAAAGAGGATGGGGAAGGGACAACAGGGGGAGGATACAAAGTAGTCAATATTCTTAAAGATGGTGTAGTGGGTTGATTCCGATGATATCGAGATGGGTGACGAAGCAAGACCAGGTAGCAATGATGAGAGGTGGAGGTGCAGGTAAGAGATCTATATGTCAGCTGCCGAGCCCGAAAAAAAAAATTCATTATAACAATATTTTGTTCAATCTATAATAAAAAACCATCACATCCCCTCTTTTATGTTATATTTTTCGCACATTTTATACGGGCAATTTAAATTAAATGGTCAACTATAAATCCTTCATTTTAAAATTACAAAATAATTTGAAATCTTATATACACCAACAAAATAATTTGCTAATGACCTCCCAAAAATTCTGTACAGGATAGCAAAACGAATTGAACTTAAAAGTACGTACTGATACAAAACAAGTCAAATTGCCTAAGTTTATCTCCACCCACAAAACTAAACTGATCTACATACACCAACGAAATATTCTGCTAAAACTTCCTAAAGTTCTGTACAGAAAATCAAATCGTACAGAACAAAAAAAGTACATAAACAGATACAAAGCAAATTAAACTGCCTCTATTTACCCCAACTCACAAAACTAAACTGATATACATTTATTGAAGAGATAAGCCGGTCCGGCGCAGCAAACAAACCTGCAAGCTCTGTTAATCCAAATACATTTTGGCTCTTCCTACCATACCTAGGGATATTAATTCCCATATTTTCAGTCTGTTCTGGTATTCATAAGTATGCTATCAAGTTTCCATCTTAAACCATCATCTGCCTGAGTTTGTTAAAAGAGCAAGCATCCCATTGTCATTGGAGGCTGATTCTGATACAAGCTCACTTGGTGTTTTACCTTCTCTGTCAATGGCTCGAGGATCAGCTCCCCTGCAATTAAATAGGTAGAACAACGGGAAGCCTTTTATAATTATGAAAAAGAAAAAAGAACACGATATAAAACAGATTTAAAGCATGATATACAAACAAAGGCTGACCTCATAAGAAGCATCTTTGCAATAGATGTATTGCCTCTGATAACGGAACAATGCAGTGGTGTTTGACCTTTTAAATCAGAAGTGTTTACGTTTGCACCATACTGTAAAAGTAGCTCCACCATGCCAATATCAGCACTTTGGCAGGCTAGGTGAAGCAGGGAAGAGCCCTTAGGGATGTGCTCCAGTGGCTGAACTTCACTTTTATTGAGTGAGTTTGAATTACTTGAGGAAGGCTTGTCTTCAGAAATATCTGCAATTCAACCAAATTGGTGTCAAGTATTTTTCTTCTCATCCAACTGAATTACATTTCCAGATTTTAAGGGCGTACCATCTAATGCTTGCCCACATATAGCATTAACATCTGCTTCGGAGCTGATAATATGGCGGTAAACTGCTTTCTTGTCATTAGCACGGACACTTTTGCACAACTGTTGTTGCTCCATTGAGTGGAACTTCTGATTGTTTTTCGTACGACGAACAAAAAGTTTTTCTTCATACTGAAATCAGTGGGAAATCTCAGTTCCAGGTCCCAACCAACAAAGCAAACCCTATTATTTCTACTTAAGAAATTTGAAAAATATAATAAAATAAAATATTCTTCTATCTCCATCTGCATCAAGTAACGTGAAGTGTTAACAGAACATGGGCAAAGGGAGTAAGCGAGCGTTTAGAAGAATACCTTTGCATGAATAAACCTCTCCTTTATCGAAATAAGATCATCATAACAGGGCTTTATCATAAGAAATGGCTCATTTCTATCCGCCTTGGGAAAACTACATCACACAAACTGACAAGTTATTAGCACAAAAAGAATACTAGTTTCAATCATATAGACTTACGGGTTTTTTAATTACCCTATAGGCATGTTATCAGCCTGCAAAGTACTTTTTGAATACAACGTCTCCTCCCAAACCGAGTTTACGAAAGTATTGCCTAGTGATTGAAACAAGGTTAAGACAGAAGGTTCCCATACTTTCACATCAAGTGTCAGTGATCTGACCTGCATCAGAAGTATTAAAAGAACTTCCTCACTGAGCAAATTGAAGAAAGTAGAAAAACAAAGTCATGCTATCATCTAGTTCCAGATAATTGATACCCGAGGAAGAATTAGTTCTAGATAAGTAATACATGCCTTAACCATTTCACAATATAAATCTTAAACTAGACAACTTGCCTTTGATACATGTACACCGAGATTACGATGAACACCAGAACATTCAATGCAAATAAGAATGCCAAGGTTCAAGGATGCCCAATCTGGTTCAGGCGCACCACAATCAGCACATTTGTCATTACCGCATACTCTTCTCAGTATGTCAATTGGCTTCTCACTTTTCATTTTGTACTTGTGTGATTGCAAACTTTTAGAGGTTCGCAAATAATTATAAGCACTGATCTTAGGTGAATACTCCTGAATTGTCTGATCAGCATCAAAAGCACATTCTAATAAATTACTCTCACTTCCAGAGATCTGATCATCACTTCCCGTAGGGCTAGTCGAGAGACGCTGCCAAATAGTTGATTATAAGCATTATAACAACTATAGAACCAAAGGTTGTATATTTTTAAGAATTCCCAATTGAACAATTACCCTCTCAGGTGTCTGGAAACTCAATAATGAAGCAATTACTCCAGTGATTTTCTCAATCCAATCCATTTGGTCGAGTGCATTCTCTGCCTGCATCACCAAAAAAATATTAGAATCTACCGTTATACATTTGATGTGTTCAAGAACAGCAAACTTTCACTGACAATCACTAACTTAGCTAATAATCGCACATTACACATCCAAGAATTTTTTAGAAAAAGCAATACCTGCGTAGAAAAAGCAATACCTGCAAAGTGTAGATTTTCATAGGTGATATAATCCTGAAGCAGAATCTTAAATCTGTCTGGTCGGCATCAACCTTTATTGTTGACGTCAGCAAGTTCACGGTGTGACGTGCAACGGTTTTTTCATCATGTACACCGCCATGGTAGTGAGATGAAAGCCAACGACTCAAAAGCCCAGAGCCATTTTCAGAGGAACTATGCTTATGTGGAGAAGATTGACCCCCATGCTGAAACAATGTAAATGTAATTAACATCAAGTAAGCAGTGGTAGAGACATAAAATAAGCTTTGTAACTTATGCTCCAGCTAATGACTTACAGATGGCCGATTCCATGGTTTGCGATAGTAGTACAGCATCCCTCGACTATCAAGAATGAAATACCTTCTTTTCCAGTCACCTCTTAAATTGGAGGAACGTTTCGAGAGATATCCTTGCCGAATAGTTTGTATCTGAAAATATATTCATAGCTATAATGCAACTTAGAAATTTATAGAGCTTGGTTTCAGTAGGAAAGTCATGCAGAAAGGAAAGGGGGAAATTCATATCTGCAACTGCAAGTACCTTCCCCTTTGCAGCAGATTGCATCACTTCCTCTATCACTTTATGTGATTTCCTGGAGAAAGACTGCACACCATCTCCACTGGGAGAACTCTGGACACCACTCAAGGACTGATTACTTTGGCGATCAATCTGCCTTTTATACTCTTGTATCCTTTCATTGAGAGATACCTGTTCCTGGTTGCAACTTTCTCTTGTCTGTTGTGCATGAGCCAACACCTACACCAAAGAAAAAGAGCTAAGCTCTTATAATTTAACAATTAAGAGAAATTAATTGACAGGGAAACCATAAAGTTTCCAAAGAGAACATGATGCTGCTTGCCAACTATGTGATAGTACCCAGCCTCGTATGGAAAAGTACCACAGGATACAGACGGCAAGGTTGCTAGCCCTGATAGGATCTTTGGCCAGCAGAAGAGAACTCTCCCGCGTTAAGGTAACTTATTGCATTAATGAGAGGGAAAGTCTAAAGTTAAAATTCTGGAAGACAACTCAGAAAAGAAGGGGATAATGACTTGACAGTTAGATCCTATAAAACCCAGCTGATTGGTAGTGCAGGTTAAGCAACAACTCACGAGACTAGTTTCCACGCTTTTGCATGACCAGGGGAAAATTCTACATCTAATGCTTTCTGAGAAACGGTAAGCATCATACTACCTGCTGATTTCAATTTCACATTAAAAGGAAAAAAAATGCAAGACACAATTTGAGAATATCTTAATCAAATATTGGAGGATGGAAAATTCAAATAGATGCCTGGTTGAACATATCTCTCTTCATACATCTAAAATTCAGGGGGACTGGTCTCCCAATTACATAATATGTAAGAACAATGGAAATAAATAATGTGTCAAATTAATTTCCAGAGAATCAAGGAATTGAACTATTCACTACCAAGTTATGAAGAAAGTTTATAATTACAAACCTGATGAATATAGGGTTCCATTGTGTGCAGTAACTCATATCCCTGCAAAAGAAGAGGGGGAGGGGGGAGAGAGAGAATATCAGAATCAGCTTATATGCAACGTATTTCTTCGCACAAATTATCCCATGATTGTGCCATATACCTGTTTGAAGTAACGAAGATGAGCATCCATCACCCCACTAACAGATTCCAGAAACTCAAACCTCTTCCTCGCCTCAATATCAGAGAGAGCAGTAACCTGGATGCGTAAGTACAACATATGTTTTAAGCCTAAATGCTTCAGTATTGCGCCTTTATTTGAACTGAAAGATCTTCTTGTTGACTGATCTTACCAGGTTGAAGCGGGCCTGCTCAAATGAGGATCTTGCATTGTGCAGTTCCTGGAATGTCTCTCTACCAAATTAGATTTAAAAGGATAATGGTCACCCATGGCAAACTATCTTAATTCAACAAATACCAATAGTACTTCAATGGGGAGATAAACAATTTTGGATATACCTCCTCTATACTAGCAGCTATATCCATCCTAGTGCTCTTCCTCAATGATAGAAACTTCTCGCGTGCCTGTGTACATAATAGGCATTTACCTTGTAAGTCACAATCAGAAGGATTGATCAATTCATAACATAAGCATTGTCAGTTTCTTATTCTTTTTTTATTATCAATTAAATTAAGCCACAATATAAATTAATAAAATAATGATCCTAATTGATGGATAATCTTACTAATGAAACTACTTAGCATGAGAAAGGCACATACATAGACACTGGCACTAAAAGATGCAAATATTGCTACTATGAAAGATGAAAAAGGCACCATGAATAAATCAAGATATTCAAATATAACAAAAATAAATATGATTGCTACACAAGAAACCATATTTTTAATGAAGAAAAAAAT